GTGTTGACGCCATAGACGGTATTACCCTCCTTGAGGTGCTTCTGGAGGAAGTCAACACTGGACTGCATCTTGGGGCGAACGGTGCCATTATCGCAAACGACAGGTGTCACCCCATGTCTAAGGTAAGTTAACGAGTTAGCTGAATGCGTCCCGGGGATTCCATCAAAGCTAACAACGTACTTAGCGACCGCCACCACTTCGGCCATATCCAGCCGGTGACCGTTGAGGCTGACGATCTTGCCGGCCATCAAGATAAATCCCAGTTTTGAGGTTGCACCCAGCACGTATTTCGTGAAGTCTTGATGTTTATCTTTACCTGCGCCAGCTTCATCGACTGCTTGTTCGACCTTCAGCAGTGCGGACAGCATATCCTCAGCATGGGCTATGAGACTGCTGTTGTCAGGTGATAGGTTCGTTGGAGTGTCTGCCATCTTGACTAGATGAGTCTCTTGTAGCACTCGAAGCGTTGTTACTAGCACCGTTGATACAGAAGCGCAATTTGATAAACTGATGTTCGAACTCAGCGTATCCTTGTAAACGAAGTAGTCTGAAAGAGATGCTTGTAGAAGAAGTGTTGATGATGGTGATGGAAAGGAGATGAGAGATACGATGGCAACAGACGCGAGTTGAATCCAACACTTAGCGAGCCAGTGGACATGCTAAGCGAGATACATGGGGGTTGATATAGTGAATGCGCGCTCCCTACGCGTTCTCTACACGCGCTCTGGAAATACAGTACCATGACCCAGTGTGAACTACTCGTGCTTGTGGCTTTAATGACTGACGATGGCTAGAGTAACCTCATTGTCGGCGTGAGTGGCATCTTTCCGTGTTCGTTTTCACCCTTTGCCTCTGTCCGCCCTTGTTGAGTAGTGAGTCCAATACCTCAAAATGACACACCGTGAGATGATGTCTGTGATAATTGCCGCTGTCTATATTAAGCAGCAGTATACAGTGGTAGTGCTTCAGATAAGCTCTTCAGGGGTTGGTGGGATTTCCCGGAACCATCTCTGGGGTAATCTAGACTGCTTAGAGGGTAACATCACCTTTTCACACCAATGATGCACTGTTATCGTGAACCATTGTATCCAGATACACACCGAGTGAGTGGTTAGGGGATGGAGAAAAGATTCTAATTAGCTTCCTTCGAAGCTCTCGGCTATCGGTATGAGACTTTTCAAGACCTGGCAGCAGAAAGCAACCCGACTTAGAAAGAGAGTGGTGGGAAATTGAGCCCGCCAATGGTGTGACTGCCTGTCACAGGACTTCCCGCTTCAACAGCCACACCATCTCTTATGTCATCCATACACTCACCACTGCCAATTCATATCCTGGTTATTGCTGGATCGAGGAATGAATGCTGCTCATAACAAGGAAGAAGGGCCTTCTCCGCACTCTTGACCCGGGTGTTGACCTGTTATTGCGGTCTAGACTCTATTCTTCGCATCGGGGTCCTACATCTCCTGAAAGGGATCGTTTCCCATCAATCAAATACCATGTTGGGATCTCCCTGGTAGCAACGTACGTGTTGTTCCTGGGAGTGGGTGGAATCGAGATTGATACCGGTTAACAAGCTGGGACTTGGGTCTACCATCACAGTAAGTCCCATGATTCAGGTAGTCTTTCCGAGCCGCTGATGTGTTTACCAAACACATAGAAAGTATACCGTTGTCGGCAGTTCAGTTTTGTGTGCAACACAATTCCCAGGCGGTATCGTAACTGGAAGTTGGAGCGCAAATGCCACCGTTGTCTCTTGCAATTTCACTCATTTGTGGCATGCTATTATGGACCAACTCGGTCAGAGCAGATCTAATTCGATTGTCAAGGGTACGGATATGGGACATCGGAACCTATCTGGATTTGACAATATATCAGATCAGCCCGTTGCAGGAAGTTGATCTTCTATGCGAGTGGTTGTAATGGTGAATTAGAGCCAGTTGGTTGCTGACTTACCATCGAATGCCTTCCCTGTACTCTGTATTCTCCAGCATAAGCCACGTTAGAAGATTGGTCCTCGTTGCAGTCCAGTGTCGGGCTCCCAGGAAGATAGCATGTCTCAAGCTCATGCAACGGATTTGTACGGTGCTACAATCTGACCTTGTAGTGGAAATGAGAGCCGTGCCAAGTACGAAGTAGTCCTAAAGAAGATGATGCGGCTCCAAGGCGAAGAAAGAGCATGAAGAGACAAATTTCCTTGACTTCATCATAGGTGAATCTCACCCTGGCAATTGCCCATGCAATAACGCGAGTGGAAACGACCAGGAGATAGACAAATTGGTGCTGGTTGGTACGCTTTCATGTACGGACACACAGAATGCAGGAATGAAAGGGCAAGGATTGCAAGACTACAAGCAATTAGACTTACGCGTCTGCAATGGACCCTGGCTCCTTCCGGGGACATGTTGCTTTCGGTTGGCGCACAACCTGGACCCTCTTGCCAAGCAACCCTCGTAGAATGGACGACGGAAAGCAATTCCCGGCCTTGATGATGAAATTTCCGTCGCGGTAAAAGTGGCCTATGAGGACCGAATCCCGGCACACCTGCATGTTGCGACACATATGCAGGGCTATCACATACATGGATTGTACCAGTCCTCTGTTCTCCTTTGTCTGCTTGGCAAAACAGGAGAAACGTACCCTATCGCATATTATGTCAGTGGAAGAGGCGCGGAGAGCCTATACAGAGCGGCACTAGATGTTTTTGATGGGTAATAAAAATATCCGTCGGTGTGTGTCATTGTCAAGTTGCGCTGCATGCGGGATTTAGCCCCAGGGGCGGGCACTATGGTGGCCGCGTCATCTGGCAGACCAAGCCGTATTAGAGTCTGGTATGATCGAATGTGTCGCTAAGGGACACCATTCCCCAGCCTTCTTGCGATGATGGCGCTTCCTATTGACAGATGCACGGACCAATTGACAGGAAAAGGAGAAGCCCGGAAAAGCCGGATCCGACACAAAACAGTTGAAGGGTGGAAAAGGGCCCGCACCTAGGGTCCAAGGGTGACAGAAATAGAGACACTATGGGCGTCAATTGGTGTCTAAACATAATGACAACAACATGCATTCCTGAGTTATACGCATTGCGATCGTATCGCATCCTTCTCCTTTTGGCCCCTTTGACTCGCAATCATGGGAAGTCCACGAGGCCGCTGCGGGACGCCGACTCGCTCCCAATCCTTTGCCCCGGCGGTCAAATGAGCAGCAATCCACTGCAACAGTGAGGGCCATACTGGTAAGGCCCAATATTGAGAGTCAAGAGTCAGTTATCTGATTTCGTCAAGCCTGCCGATCCCGCGGAAACCGGTAGCGACGTAGGAGTAGGTGGACCGCCAGTGAGGAGGCGACTGTGAGGGTTGCGAAGATAAAGTGAAACATCCCGATCGGATAAATGGGCCGTGCAGGCAGGTGGCCAATCAGCTTCCGCAGCCCATGGGATCTGCATAGGGCCACGCCAGCTGCTCCAACGCGCTATCAAATCCAAGCCTTGAAACGAACAGATGCCACAACCAGACAGCCGTCGGTTTCATTCATAGTGGCTCGCTAGGGAGGGTGACGACTGGTCCAGACCCCATTTGTCGTCATCTTGGCTATTCCATCACTTCACTTCCAACCCTGCCGTGCAGGAAACCAGGGATAGCCTAACAGACTTCCGGTATGGACAGATGCCAGAGAAGACTTCCACCCTTCTCTAGAGACTCTAGGGTCCTCAGGGTCCCATCGCTGTTACTTTCCCTATTCCATGGGTCCACATCGTGGGCTCCCCCAACTTCGAAGGGGAAAGCTCTGTTCCGAGTTCAGATACAATGTTCCCAGCGAGGGGTATTATGTAAGACCTCATAACAACGACTTTTTTCTGATGGATAGGAAGTGAGGGTATAGGTATGACTATCCCCCACAGTGATTATCACATCGTCATGACCATAGCTTCCACGATGATCTGTAAGCGGAAGATGATTTTGCTGCACATAGAGAACTGACCACAGCTGCTGTTCTTCGAGATGGACCCACCCAAATAACGTAGAGTCAAGGACCCGCCATCGTTGGGCCCCCAAGAACACACCAAAGCTGACTAGCTTTCCGCTTAGTTGGCACTACGACCTGTCGACTGTCAGTGTCGAGAGTCGAGACTGGACTGACCCACTAACTTGGAACAGCCACAGCGGCAGGGGGCAGCTTGATTGAGGACGTCAGCTCCGTTGCATTCTGGTTATCATTGGACTGAGAATATCAACCAGTCGCATTCATCCACCGACGATCTGAGGCACTTTTTGAGGCTTTCCGAATGTGTGGACTGAGTGTGGTGGGTGTATGATGCGGAGAGAGGCAACCAGACAAAGCATTACCATGGGACTCATGACGGAATTGCGAATAGATCAACCGCCGCAGCCAGGATCAAGCCACCTCCAAGCGGCAGAGGGGCCAAGGAAGAAGAGAGGGAAGGACGAGTCAGCCATTCTGAATAGGCGATGAAGAGTGAAACGCTGGAGGGTCGGCTGGCCCGTGACGGCCTTCAGGGCGAGCCGCGCACGTGGGGCCGCCGCCACAGCTCCAGCCAGCCAGAGTGACTTGTCTCTTGCCCTTTCTTCCTCTCCATCAATAGCGTCTTCTACTACATCCTCCCTTCTCACGGATCCAACTACCGGCTTCATGCTTAGCCGACCCACAGGAGCCCAGCAGGTACGTTCAAACCCTATTTTACATCAGCCCTGCCCCTGAGCCACTCTACCCCCCACAAGCGCCAGGTCTGGCGATCTATGCGGTTCTTGCATCTCAAGCATAACCTGATCTATTGCTGACAGTCGACGTCTCAGATTCAGGCGGGCCGAGCTCGCTGACAACAGTGCATGACGAATGCTTGGTTCCTCTCACCCATCGCAGCAGATGGATGGAGGTGATCATCGCTGGGTCTTAGCGACTCAGCGCTTGAAGAGTGCCGTATAAAAGCGTTCCTTTTCCCAGCCAGAATCATCCTTCATTCAGCTCAAATTCTCTTTCCTTTGATCTCAACTACCATTCCTTAAGAAGCTGTGCTTCGTACCTTCATTTCGCCTTCTTTTTTTCTCACTTACTACTACAAGTCCATCACTCTCTATCGTTTCAAGATGAAGTTCACCGGAATCGCTTTCGCTGGTCTTATCGGTTACGCTGCCGCCCTGCCGGCCATGGGCGCCCAGCAAGACTCTGCTCCCAATGGTGTTCAGGCCAGCGGAGCTCCCTCCTTCCAGGGTGCCGCTCCCTCCGGTTCTCCCCTTCCCCTTCCCTCGGGTGCTCCTCAGGGCCAGGGCCAGGGCTTCGGAGGACAGGGCCAAGCTCCCACCGTGAGCTTGGGCGATGCTCCTCAGCCTCCTCCCACTGGCTCCGCTGCCCCCGCTCCTTCCGGAGCTCCTCGCGGCCACAAGAGACGCCAGCTCGAGATCCCCGCTTCCGCCTCTAACGTCCCTGCCCCGACCGGCTCCGCTGCTGCTGGAGGTGACTTCGGTGGTGTCGCTCCCTCCGGTGTTGCTGGCGGCAACGGCGCTGCTCCTTCCGGTTCTTTCGGTGGTGCTGCTCCCTCTGGCGTCGCGGGTGGCAACGGCCCCTCTCCTTCTGGCTCTTTCGGTGGCCAGGCCGGCCAGTCCGGCTCTTTCGGCGGCAACGGTGCTGCTCCCTCCGGCGTTGCTGGCGGTAACGGCCCCTCTCCTTCCGGCTCTTTCGGTGGTGCCGCTCCCTCCGGTGTTGCTGGAGGCAACGGTCCTTCTCCTTCTGGCTCCTTCGGTGGTCAGCAGGGTCAGCAGGGTCAGCAAGGCCAGGACTCCCAGTCCCAGGGCCAGTCCCAGGACTCCCAGTCTCAGGGCTCCCAGTCTGAGCGCTCCCAGTCTCAGGGATCTGACTCCCAGGGATTCGACTCCGAGGGATCTCAGGGCTCTTCCGAGCAGGGCTCCCCCTCTGAGCAGGGCTCCAGCTCCAGCTCTTTCGGTGGCAACGGTGGCGCTGCTCCCTCCGGTGTTGCTGGCGGCAACGGTCCCTCCCCTTCCGGCTCTTTCGGTGGTAACGGTGCTGCTCCCTCTGGCATTGCTGGCGGTAACGGTCCCTCTCCTTCCGGTGCTGCTCCTTCCGGCGTCGCTGGTGGTAACGGCCCCTCTCCTTCTGGCGCTGCTGGTGGTGCTCCCGCTGCCTCGGGTGCTCCCGCCGCCGCTCCCTCGGGTGCTTCCTACTAAGTCCATGCGTAAGCCTTGGGCTTTGATCGACAGTAGACACCTTCGAATTATCTGACGCTGTTGCATTAATTCCACTGAGAACATCGACAATGCCATTGTGTTGGCGTGGACCGGACAATAACTGTGGATCAGGGTGTGATGGATTGGACGTTTGTGTATATTAATCACTCAATAACCAGTCATTCGTTTGACCAGATCTGGTAGAATACAGAGTTTGGCTGAAACATTTTCTGATTATGTAGTCCGTAGTACCGTAGCGCTATCAATCTCGCTTTCTCTATAATATTTGCATCTAGTCTATTTCTCTCCGTAGACACAATATGAATACGACCTTGTTTATAAGCGCTAGTTAGATATGGAGTCTTCAATCCTGGCGACACGAGCAATGATGACACACTCATGTCGCTACTACATAGCACATAGCCAGGCATCGATATCACAAAAGACACTCCGCAAAGATAAAAATGTCTTAACCATCAACAATCAGCGGTGAAAGAAGGCTGGATATACCAATCAATAAAAGTTCAATTCCATTTGCTTTTAACGTTCAGTAGTAGAAAGTAGGATTGCAGTGTGTTGACTGAACTTCGCAACACAGTTCTGGAACTCACGTACCCTGTCTCTATCCCGAAATATATAGTACTCATTAGTAGTAGTACTACTAGTAGTAACCCCCAACTTCAAGACCTACTAACTGAAGTGAAATACTACTAAACCTTCCGCACCTGCCCCCCATCTACTACCCCTTCTACACGCCCATCATCACGACTAGAATCATCCCCCTCACTCTCACTTCTCCCACCATCCACCCCCTCGGCTTGAACCACTTTCGGCCTACTAAAACCACTCATTAGCAAACTATCCACCCACACACAAATACTCAATAAAAAAAGAATACGAAGATAAACATACCTCTTCCCCTCCCAAACCTGCAACCTCCACGTCACCACCGTCGAGATAATCAAAATAACAGACATAATGGTCACCGTAATAAACCCCTTCCGGTACTGTGGGGCATCCACCTGCTGCCACACCACCAGCGGTAACCATGCTTGAAATACGTACGCCATTTCGTTCATGCTGCCGACTACGAGCGCGCGCTCTTCGTTGTCGTCGGTGCAGATTTCGTGGGCCCATCTTTATATTTTGTCGGGTTAGTGGAGGTTTATGTGGGGGATCTGAATTCGGATGGGATTGGGATTGGGATGGGTGTAGCGTACGCCATGCATAGTCCGCTCAAGCCGTAGCCTGCGCCGGAGAGGATGTAGCAGGTCCATTTCCAGCCTGTGGGGATGTTCCAGACTGCTAGGGAGACGTAGCAGATGATGTTTATGCACTGGGTTTGGGGTGTTAGTTGTGAGTAGTGGGTATGAGTTGGGAAAGGGGGTGAGGAGGCGTACAGCTCCGATAATTATGCAGGGCCAGCGTCGGCCTTGGAGGATTGTGTCGGATGTCCCTGATGATATTATTATTAGAGGGACTTGGGTGGGTTATTTGGGGAGGGCGCGTACATGCGTAGATGAGGGTCGTGACGACCTGCACAGCGTTTGTGGTGGTCGGGTAGGCGTTGATTTGGCCAACAGAGTATACAGGGTTGGTGGAGTCTTTGAGGTATCTGCGAAGATAGCTTTAGTTGTAGTCCAGGGATATTAGAGGAGTGACGTACTGTTGAAAGACGGGCTGACTGCCTGCTGCTCCGTTGTTAAATGTACTAGGCTACTATTAGCTTGTCATGTTCATTGAGGGCGGTGCTGCCAACGCACATGTATACGATCGTGAGCAAGTAGATATGCCACGACGAAAAGATCTTTTTCAGTTTGGATTTCGTGTATGGCTCTCTGTCCTTTCGTCCTTCGAATTGCATCCGTTTCTGCGCTAGCTTGACTTCCTGCTCGCTCAGATAAAACGGACTTGAGATTTCGGGGACATCCGGCAAGATGAAGAAGCCGCTGATGGCCACTGGAATTGATATGATTCCGTCGATCAAGAAGAGCCTGTCTTGTTAGTTGATTGGGCGTAGTCGGAGCGAATTGAACATACCATTGCCAGCCCTTCAACCCTCCCCGTCCGCCAAGATGGAACACCGCGTCCATCAGGTACCCAGAGAACATACTCGCAATTCCACTGCTGGTGTGGAAGATACATGATCGCTTTGCGAGCTCGTCTTTTCGATACCACGATCCGATGATGTACTGCATTCCGGGGTAGAAACTACTCTCGGCAAGGCCTGATTGCGTTAGTCGAACACAGGACAAGGAGGGAGACCTCATACCGATGAAGAAGCGCAAAACATAAAAGTGAGTCGCATTGGTACTCCGCGACAGAGCAAACGTAAGTACGGTCCATAGCAACTAGATAAGATCAGCACGAGTTCCTTACGTTAATGGACAACCATACCTCCATAGCCGGAATCCAATATCTAGGCCGTATGCGTGTCAAAAGCATGTTACTTGGAATTTCACCAATTACATAGCCCACTGTCCAGCATGCTTGCATGTAGTTGAGCTGGTTGCCGTATAGACCAAGGTCTTCCTTCCTGCGATTTTGTCAATGTGGGTTGACCATGACCATGTGGTTGAGTTGTGTGACACGAACATTCCCGAAACGAAGGCATTGTTGATGTTGATTTGGTCAAGATACTTGATAAAATATCCTTTTCCACAACATTAGCCGATTTTTTACAAAATTCACAAGTGAATAGACTGCCACCTACCAAGCGACGCGAATGTCAAGATAGCTGAATCCAGCTTAAATAGCAGTCTGCGCTCCTCAGGAGACTTGTCGAAAGTATCCCAGATGTAGCTAACCCATCTTCGTTTAGGCTTTGCTTGGACAATGCCACTGGATGTGTCAACAGCCCTTTCTTCAACCGTAGCTGGCGATGGAGCCATGATTATTCCGGTCGTGATCTGGGTTCACGAAGACCGGCAGAGGAGGCGGGGGGACACAGAGAGTACAGGGAATTTTTGACAGTCCGCTGCACTGCATATTGTCTCACATGATAGTCGCGCATATTTATTCCTGTTTTAAGCTTGATAGCAAGGCTTGATGAGATGGTCTGGATGCCATATCTGATGGGTGCAGGACCGCACAGACCAATGCATCATCATCCACCACATTCACGCAATATCTGCGGGGGTTTATCCTGTCAGATGTAATGATGAGGAAGAAAGATAACAAGCGTGTCTGCCGATGTGCGGGGATGGTAAAGCATGTCAGGTCCGCTAAGGATGAGTGGTTGCTCATTCATCCTCCGGAGCTCGTCATCCAGATCTCGGATGATGTGCCCTGTGCATAGGCGTGCGATGCCGGCCGGTTAAAATGTCTACAGCCCTCATGGACATGCCGATCTCGCCTGATAAGCTTGTATTTGGTGCTCTAGAGTAGTACCAATGCCTGCGTCTAATTGTGCCATCTACACTAAAATGCGAACTGTTCTATAGCTTGTCTAGCTGCATACCTCCAACACCGGAAGCTCCCCGATGCCGCTGTCTCGTCTCCGGCCAAGCCCTAGCAGCTTATTGGTTCTCTCCCTCTGCGCAGCTTTTGCCAGATGCCAATTGTCAGAATGGGCTTCGATCGCACTGAGTCCATACTTGGCTCTGTATCCGTTAATCCACTCCAGCAGGTCAATCACGTAGAATTCTTCAATGTCCTTCAACGAGTGGAAGCGCTTGCCACTGCCCTTCTCCTTGATTCTACGGGCGTATTCGTCTTTCATTTCGCTCTCCGCTGGTAGCTCTGCAATTCCGGCGAAAACGTTCGCTACAGCTATCGCTTGGAATTCGAACAGCGTAAACGTCGCTGTGTAGTAAGGGACTCCCACAAATGCCAGGGTTGGATCTGGGATGTAGAAGATGTCTTTGTTCAGGTTATGCACCTGCGTCCCGTCAGTCACTAAGACTGTATCACTCGCTTTCTCCGCTGGTGTCGCATCGTCGTGATATTCCGACAGGAAAGGCAACGTGATATGGTATCCGGTACAGATGATGATCGCATCGATTCCACAGAGCGTCTGTCCTGACTTCAGGTGTACCTTGATCGGCAAAGCCTCGTCATCTGCAGCAGTCTTTGCCTCTATTTCGAATCGTTCTATCTCGCTCACTCTTGTGCCATTCTCCGGAAGCACACTGGATGAGATATCGAATTCACCGTTCCTTGTGCTTTGGTAGACCTTTTTGGCTAACGGTCCGATTTCTCGAGCGAGATCCGTCGAGGACACCCCGCCTCCAATAAGCAGGACGTTCTTAACATGGTTATTAGTTATTATTATCCTAGAAATTGAGCGCAAGGAAAGTGTCGTACCTTGCCCGCGTAAGGGTTCGGGTTTCTGTACCCCTTCGAGTGAGTTATACGCGACGGCCACTGTGCTTTCGCCTTGGACAACCCAGGGGTATCTGGAACGCGAGGCGCATGATAGTGGCCGGAAGCGACTATTACCGCGTCAAATTTCTATTAATGAAAGAATTAGTAGTTTCTTCCTCCTGGAATGGTATAACTTACAGCAGTCTCCTCCTGTTCCTCCAACGTTCCTGATTGCGTGGTTTCCTTCAATGTCGACCACGTAACGTTCCACTTGCGATCCACCTTGCGCAGCCTGGTCACTCGAGCGCCGTATAACGTAACGCTTTCAGCACCAGCCTTCTTCGATGTGTCCTGGATGTACTCCTTCATCACCGTATGGCTGACAAATTCTGGCGTTCCTTCTGGCCAGGCATTGAGTTTAACCCGCATCAGCGATGTGGCCACATTGTTCTTGAGTCCATCATAGCATGGACTGATATTGTAAGCGATTGTTTGGGAAGCAGATCAAGATACGCACCCTGGTGGAGCATGCTCCAATGACAATGCATCAGCATGTATGCGGTCCTCGTCTCGATGTCTCTCCGAGATAGATGGCTTCATGGCGGGGTAATTCGGTTCCAGTGGTTTTCTTTCATCGTGAAGCCTGATGGAGCCGTTAGAACCCCGTTGCTCGACACACCACTGAATGAGGAGGGATTACCAAACGCCACCTGCTGCATGATTCCGTTCAAAGACAGTGACGTCGATCCCGTGCGCAAGAAGGTGGGCCGCGGAGACAACACCGCTAATGCCAGCACCGATCACGGCCACTTGCTGGATTTCACGAGTCATGGTGGTTGTTGGTTATGCTGTCCCACTCACAACACAATGGTATGGCATAAGAGACATCTAGTGAGATCGAGCCGTCTGATATGTTCCTAATGAATTGCGAAGGAATATGGAGCCAGACGATATCGTTATGTTAGTCAAGTGTGGTGTAATAGCGACGCTACCGGTCGAGAACTGGCCATAGCCTGTCATATCTGAGACAGCTCGAACCGAGCTACTAGCGATAACCTAGTTCCAAGCCAGGAGGAACCTGCAGCAGCGTGTGGTACGTCTGTTGCTTATCAATAATTATGAAGAGGGGATGAGGCCATCGAATCCCTGGATGATGCTCTCCGGGGACCCCGTTAATGGATGGCCAGGCTTGTCCACTGGGATAAGCGGAGATAAGAAGTCATCGAGAAGAGCATACTCAACAGAAAAGAGGGGTACAGGCGAGAGATGCCGCGACAGCCGTTCAATCTGCCAATTCCTTGGTGGTGGGATGCAGAAGACGCAATGATGGGTGGTGATGATGTGATCGGATCCCGTACCACGACAATGATGGTGAGGGGAAATAATCTTGGTATGCAATAAGCTCTGCATAGAAATATCACCCTAGAGCGCTGTAGAACCGGATAAGACAGACATTATAGTCAGAGTTCATAGTTCAATTGGATCATCATGGCTCCAGCTCCTATTGACCCCAGAATAGTTGATGTTGCGGAACCTTTGAAGCAAACGCTTCCGCTTCCACCAGCATCACGAAAGCGCCTCGAGAAAGCGGGCATAGACCTGTCTGAGGGATACCCTTACAGGCCGTCTCGTCCTTTGTACCTAGACGACGTCTACAAGATCCGCGATCATGACCGGACCCATGTGGACCCAGGCACCCGCGCGGACCCAGAAAAGAAGGCACTCTTGTCTGCAGCCAAAGAGGTCATCCATCTAACCCGACACATTGGCACGGAGATCGTGGGACTGCAATTGAAAGACCTGACGGACCAGCAGAAGGATGAGCTGGGCTTGTTGATCGCTGAACGGAGCGTTGTCTTCTTCAGGGACCAGGATATCTCACCCCAGCAGCAGAAAGAGCTTGGCGAATGGTTTGGCGAGATCGAGGTCCATGTAAGCCCACTTGCCTCTCCGTGTCAGCATCTAGCAGACTGACTGAGTCTTGATATTATCCAGCCACAAGTTCCCCAAGTACCTGGTGTCGCCGGAGTGACAGTTATCTGGCCAGCTTTGCAAGCAACGGAGACTCCTGCTAACTTCCGTCGCCCTGGAGGAGCCTCACGTTGGCACACTGATCTCGTACATGAACGTCAGCCTGCAGGTGTAACACATTTACATAACGACACCATCCCCAGCATTGGCGGAGATACGCTCTGGGCCAGTGGTTACGCGGCCTACGAGAAGCTGTCGCCTGCGTTTCGTAAGATGATCGATGGTAAAACTGCCATCTACCGATCCAGCCACCCGTATCTTGATCGCGCCCACCCAGAAGAAGGCCCGAAATACGTCGAGCGTGAGCATCCCCTTGTCCGCGTCCACCCTGCCACGGGTTGGAAAGCGCTATGGGTGAACCGAGCCATGACCGACCGCATTGTTGGTCTCGACAAGGCGGAAAGTGATGTTATCTTGGGGTATTTGTGCGATGTATATGAGAAGAATATTGACATCCAGGTTCGCTTCAAATGGAGCCCTGGGACAAGCGCACTATGGGACAACCGGTCGGTAACTTGCATCTTATGAGCTCTCCAGAGGTTCTGACATATGATAGTATTACCATCCACAATGCCAGCTGGGACTATGAAGGATCTGAGCCTAGACATGGTACCAGAGTCACGGCGCTTGCGGAGAAGCCACACTTTGATCCTAATGCTCCGACTAGAAGGGAAGCTCTGGGACTGCTTGATCGTGCTGAAAAGGAAGAGTTGGCACGAGCAAACTGAGATTGGAACAGCAACTTTCGACTATGATCAAATGTGTGGCTTTGGGCAATTGAACGCGACACTGTTTGCTACGTTTGCTATCATGTGAGTCGGGGTCGTGAGTCGGGGTCACGCGGTATATCACATTTACCAGTCGCAATAGTCTTTACCAGGTCAAAATCACTCTGCCACATCCATTGTTTACTAAGCCTCGTTGTATTCTTCAAGTCTGCTTAGGCTCAAGCCATACTTATTTTTAGGAGTCCATAAGTTGGGCGCAATACATACTATAGGTTGCCGTCATCATAGATTGTTATGCAAAGTGCTGCTGTATACTTGGGTAACTGTTGCCCGCAATGGAGTGAAGCCCCAGGTCGGCTTTTACGGAATCTTGTCCACTACGAATTGCCTAGAGGTGACATAATGGAGTTCAGCGGTGAACACCTGACTTACTGTGAATACCAGCACTCCTTCGCGTCCAGTTTCATCCGGTCGCACACTGGCGTTATTGATGGCTCCGTGTGGTAGATAACCGATTCCATTTTCGGTGGCTATTGTGCCACTATCCAGTAATCCGGGCTATTTATAGTCGCAAATTATATGGTGTGGTGTGGATCTCACTTCCGTTGGAGGATATACATCCAGTGGAAAACCTCAGGCGCGTAAGCAAATGATGAAGTCTCTCCTTGGGGTGCTTTGAAAGGCGTTCGGGAAACGACAGTCCAGTATTGGGCCATATCAGACAGGTTATCGAAACGCATGGTCGAGTAGGAGAGAGTGACCCAGAGGGCCCCTTTCTGCACCAGAGGTGCGAGGTGTAGCCCCAATAGCTCGACAGGAGATAACTCTATCGCTCCATGTTTATCCACAATCTCTTGTACCATCGGGCATGTACTCGCTGCGTCGGAGGGTAAAGGGAAGGTAACGGGAGTAGAAGTTGCAATCGCATCGCTTGTGCTTTTGTCGAGGATGACGTCGAAGGGCGAGGAAAGAGCTAACCTAGAGACATCAGCCCAGGACCGCAAGTTAGCTTGCACCCAGCCCATCGCATGTGATGGATCCCTTTTGCTCTCGGTCTCTTGCCCAAGGCGAACGGCTTTGGCGGAAAAGTCCACGTTCTATCGCAAAGATGAGTAAGTAATGTTCCAATGGCTCAATGCGCCATCACGTCAAGCACGCACCACAATGCCATTTCCGGCCCAATTGCGCTTAATGAATTCATCGCAAAGTTTAACTCCCAGCTTCGAGATGCCTGGCCCCAGATGGAGCACTCTTGGGTTCGTTGCCGAGCGGCTCTCCAGGTGAGATACTACCGCATCGATGAGCATTTCTCCCGAATTCAGCCACTCCCCGACATCCCGACCAGTGGCAAACTTCGTATCCCAGAAGGTCGGATCATCATAGTCGAGGGTGCCTGTTATTTTGGTGTAAGTTCTCACATTTGGCGGGGCAGCCATGGTGTGCGAGAAGAGAGGATTGACGGTCGGCCAAACTTTGTTTGAAACGGATTGCAGTCACGTGAATGCTATCTTATCGGCGGTTTCACTGTCCACCAGGCTAGTGTGGATATGACATTCGGACATCAAGCATTGAAGTTGCCTGATAGGCGTTGGCTTGTCCTTTTCACAGACAAAGCTGTACTCAATGCAGGAATTATTATGGCATACCAGAAAAGCCTTTTTTTCAACCGAGGAGCGATGGCAGAGGTTGGAAAGATCACTGCATCTGGAGCCAATCCAGGGTTCTGAGTCCTATCACTGGTATTCGAGCGCAAAGCTTTACTAACTATCAGTATGAGACTGTTCAGACTCTCCTCTAAAACCTGTCTCGTCGTTGCCAGTTATGCAGGTTTTCTCACTGTATCTCTTAGCAAACTGTGGCTCAGTCTCCCTTTACGCTATGGATACTTCCATACGATTCCGTCGCATACATCATGTGTATTACAGATGGATAACAGTTAATAAATTTGTGTGTGAGGAAGGACTATGAAAATACATCTGTGGCAAGTGAGAGTCACTTACCAAGACTGCTAAAACATACAATCCTGTCGAGTCGCAAGTTTCTAGGGCTCCCTAAATTTGCAGTACTTAGACATATCGACACATGGATAAGCCTTTTCTATGGGAGCAAATTTCAGCCGTTCTCCCAATGAATCCAAGGAGACCTAGCTAAGAGCTCTCTACTAAGCGTCATGCAGTCGAGTGGCGGCATAAATTACACATGAGACTTTCATCCCATCCTTGCATAAGTGAAGACGTCAGCGTGCAATGGCTTTGCAGTTGCGGGGAAGGAGCTGGAATGGAGTAAATTCACCACTCGCATGCTGTGACTTCCGCCGGAGCAGTTGCCATACATGGTCCCATCCCAAGTGATCGTCGTGTGCTTTGTACATCTACATACGAGGAAATAATCTACACTGGGAGCTTCGCATCAGGCCATCTGCACGCGCGGTGCTCGTCAATATGTCTGCATTTATCGCGGGGAAACACACCCTACCGTAGGCAAGATGCAAGCATTGCTGCCATGGCATGGTCAAACTTACGGCCTGACTCTGTTCATGGTACTCAACGCCTCTCATGAAACCGGCAAGTCAATCTACCGGTGTCTACAGATCCCATCTCGGTGTCATATATTGAACTCAATCAGACGATTATAGTTTCCTTCCTCAGTGCAAGTCAGCAATCATCTAGGTCCCTACTTGGCAAAGACGATCTGTAGAGCTGCAACACAGTCCTTCACGGTACTTCTGCCTTGGGCTGCAGCGAGGCCCTAATTACTGACAACGCCACCCTCATCCCAGCCCAGATGAAGAACATCCTATCACATCGAAAAGCGCCCAGTCAGCGGCAGATGTACCTGTGAAGTACTCGATCGCTTGGTCGGTATTGCATGCCGTACTTGGGTGATAGCTCACTCGCGTTCCAGGGGCGAGAGAGCGCCAACACCGGACAGGCCCAACGATGAGCTCCAATCACCACCCTCCAGAATGTAACCTACGAGACACGGATCAACAAAGACAGGGATGACGAGAGGTCGAGCCAGCTGTTACTGTATTGCAGCTTCTCATCTGGTGACTACCCCGCATCCGGGTTACGAGGAAGAGCATATAAACCTTGTGTCACCCGGCCAGACAATAGAGGGCAATACCCTTCCAACTCGCCTGTTGTTCTCATCAATATCAGGATCAAGAAATCTTGTTCTCTCATTGTCTCTGCTGTAATTACTCTTCTATCATCGAAAGAAACCACAAGAATAGCGACTATTCAAGATGTCGACCCCTGCTATCCAAGGTCTCTCGTCTATGGGCTCGTCTGTCGGTGCATACTCTAGACAGCAGCTGGCCACTTTGAGAAACAGGTTCTTGACTACAGGTAGGTTATCTATCATAGCAGGAGGAGTATGGTAAGAAGAAAGGTATCCTAATAGCCCATTTAGAGAAGCGCAGGAGGAGGGCACAGCTCATCTCGACCTCGTTTAGCGTCCACAAGCCGGTCTGGATTGCTGCAGGGGGCGCCGCTTACACGACGATGGGCGCGGTCTATCTGACGCTACGCTACATGCGTCGCTTGAAATAAATCCACCTCCTCCGCGAGCGAGTGAGCGAGCGTGTCTGGTTACCGCTATTGGTGCTTTGAAAGCCACGAAATAGAGGAAGGGACTTGTCCGAGACAGCGATCTACATCCTCATTATTACCGACCATTCATTTCACATCATTTCTTTTTTTCCTATTTTATTTGGGTTACCCTCTAGGGTCAGGTACTTTGGACGGCACGGGATGGAATATGCAACAAGGAGGGAATGGAATCATGACATGACGGGAGTTTTACGCGTTTTGGGTTGCATTGGAATTGGAACCAATATTCATCATGTATTTAACAAAGACACAATTACAAACACACCTAGGAATGACCATAAATACAAGAAACAATTACAATTACTTGATGCATCATTAGTGAGGGGCAGACATTTCTAATCCCTGTTGTGTTTCTTTTCATTAGTTTTATTACCTGTTGGCTAGGGTTGTCACTCGTGTGATCATCCCCTCTCCTCTTTCTGTGGTGTGTCTCTAGCTGCCTGTCTGCCTGTCTGCCGTGTATTAATACCAGCTGCACAATAATGCAGCACACGCGACAGGGATAGTTAGGTAGTAGCCAGCACAGTAAAGTAAGTAAGTAATCTACATCAAACCCATTGGATCACACCACGCTGCGTCAGCGGCTGTCCTCATACCACAGTACTACCTCTGAAGTACATTCTGTCTGCGGTGGTGGTCTGATCACATTCATTCATCTAACCATCCCCTACTTTGTGAAGTTGAGTCTCTTCATCGAAGAATCCATACTAGCTAGCCCTTATCAACAATAACATCTACTCCCCCCACAAGAGCTTAAGCACCCACTCCTCATCCTCCATGGGTACCTAGTACTACTAAGTACCCGTCATGGCAAAAGTGGGCCACAACAAGTTACCCCAGATTCCCATCCCACCAATTTATTAAAGTTTCGCTTTCGTCGCCATCCTCCGACCCATCCGTAACTAGGGATGACATCCGTGAGGACAGAAACAACACCGTTCAGTCATGGAGGGAGGGGTTGGGTCACTCGATCATTGGATGGGAAAAGCAGCGGTGGCTTTGTTCTGGCGATTGCAGTAGTGCTAGACTTCGTCTTACCCCGCCCGAAGTTGACCAGTCAGAAGTGGTGGGAATGGGCTGTGAAAGGTTACTTAGTTGTTGTTGTTGCATGATCATCCCCCGGATCCTTGGCACCCCCGCAACCCAACCGCCCATGGAATGCTGAAGTTGAACTGGACTGGACTGTTGCCTTGACTGGACTGGACTGGTCTGGGTTGGTCTAAGTGGCTATGTCGGTACTGTAGAGGTACTTCGTGGGTACTTCAGGTGGAGTTCGGCTAGGGGGGAGGGGCCGGTATCTACCTAATTTTGTTGCAGTTGGTTGCCACTTTTTGGATTTTGGGTGGTGGTGAGGTGGTGTTGCGGGTTGGTTTCATGGAGGATATATTGCTTGGTGCTGATCACTTGTGCGATGGATGATCAGGTTGGGATGGGTCTCTGGGGTAGTGATTACTCACAAATTATGAAGGTAGCCTGTATGAAGCCGAGAATAGGCAGTAGCAGACAAATGAACCGATAGTTGCACCTGCGACCGATGAACACTGTTGTGTTTCACAAGGATCATGGATACGGACATATTGCAGTTGCAGATTTACAAAGGGCTATATAGCCTTTATTTACCTAGATATTCAACAACAAGGCCTGCTGGCCCAATGGTAAGGCGCTTGACTACGGATCAAGAGATTGCAGGTTCGAATCCTGCGTAGGTCATTCTTTTTTTTGCTTTTGCTTTTTTGTATCCTCTCCTCTGTCTTCCCGCTTCCGGCTCCACCTGTTGCTGCATACCAACAGCCATTGCAGCGGTCGCACTTTTGTTTCATCCAGATTATTGCATCGCTCTGCTGGTTACTTGCTTCTTCATTCCCTAATACTCATCTCCATTATGATCACAATGCCGATGAACGAGTAATGTGCTGTCCTCGAGAATGTAGTAATATAGCCCTGCCGGTCATGGAATTTGTACTTTACTCTGATACCTATTGTCATTGAACCTTCTTTCTACAATCCCTGTGGATTGACTGATCACTGCGATGATACACCCCTACGGGCATCTCGGTCGAGCTGCTTGACTGATACACTTGAGCCCTATGCTTACCTTCTACCTCACACAGTGGGAACCGCGACATCACTCTACCATGTAGCTGCAGAGGGAATCCTGCCAGCTGATACGAGCAATTAATCATCGGTATCTACATTGCAAGTATGAAACGGCCACTGATGGCCCTTTGCAGAGGCCAGAGGACCTAGTCGAATTGGTTCTCTTCAACCATCGCTGTCTTGAATCATCGGCAGAACTAGCTACAATTGGCGGAACAAGAAGGTATTGAACGTCTTGCATGTCAATTGAGTTCCTAAGGATCAGAAACATGGTGTTCCGTTCACTTCAGGAAGGTCTCAGTGGTAAGTAACATAACCGGACAATCCAGAGTCTCATTTAAAGGCGTCATTATCGCAATGACCCCAATAAATTGCGACCAATCCAGAGGCTGGGAGTTGTTGGTTACCAGAACAAGGTTCATGACTCTTCATTGCAATATATGTCCCATTAGTCGGCGAAGCTCGAGTTCACCCCTGAGAAGGCGAACGCCCTCTAATGGCCCTGGCTGTTATAAAGCTAGCAGCCTAGTATGTGATACTGCTTTACCTTCATATGCCATCTTTTTCTTCCAAATTAACTAAGAAAAGCTCCTGCGTCGTAAAACTGTCCCACCAAATAGCAGACGGGCGAGCCCTATCACACTGCATTTGACTACACGGCGAGACTGTGAGCAGAGTGCTATCGAGTAGCATAATATGCAGCCACAATCCAATTCATATGGCAT